GGCTGCATGAGCCCTGCACAGGCAGGGTTGGGACAGGGAGAGGGAATTTTTAAGCCCCTTGACAGCAGGGGACAAAGTTTAAGTGTGACAACATTTAAGAAGCCAGTGGAGGGACAGAAGAGGAGCTGCAGAAACAAGTGCATGGGCAGGAAGGGGGCTCCTGGCAGCCACATTGTCTTTTGCAGGGCTAGTCCCTGAGTTAGTTCTTGCCAAGGAAGTGCAAGTGCCCAGGGAGGTGCCAGAGATGGGGAACAGCTATTTGGCTACCAGCACCCAGGAAGATATTAAGGAAAAAGACCAACTGAGTTGGATGGAGTTCCTTCATTAGGAAGGAACATTTACAAGAGCATGTAGTGAGAGGATGAGGGGGAATGGCTTCAAAAGAGAGTAGGTTTAGATCAGATATTAGGAAGAAATTCTTCACTGTGAGGGGGTGTGAGGAAAATTTTAATGTGAGGTACCAGAATAGGTTGCCCAGAGAAGCTGTGGCTGTCTCATCTCTGGAAGTGTCCAAGGCCAGGTTGGATGGAGCTTTGAGCACCCTGGTCTACTGGAAGGTGTCCCTGCCCGTGGGAGGGGTGTTGGAACTGGATGATCTTTGAGGTGCTTTCCAACCCAAACCATTGGATGATTCTATGATTAGTGCCTGTGGGGCTCCAGCACCAACACCAGCTGACGATGCTCGAGGGGTGTGCTGTGCCCATGTGAGCCAGGATCTGTGCCTGGAGGATGGTTTTCGTGGTATTTTGGACCTGGTGGGTGGGCGCCCTGGGAAAAAGTGTGGGTGTTGTTACTCTTGTTATAGCTTTTTTTTTTTGGCAGCATCTGATCACACAGGGTGGACAAAATTCAGGCACGTCCTGGTGGGGAGAAAAAGTTCCCGGGGAAAGTCCCTGCAGCTGGAAAGCCGGAGACTGCCTGGGAAAGACCCAAACTAGCCCCAGCATGAGGAGGTGGAGAAGAGGCCTTAAGGGAGAAGACAAAGATATGCATAGGTGGAAACCCCCCTGCCCACCCCAAAGGAAGGGCCAAGTGCCTGGCTTTGGGCTGGGGCACAGTGACCCTACCTGGGGCATCTCAGGGGTGTTATCTGGGTTCCCACAGAGACAACATGAAGAAAGGGAACAACAGTCACTTTTGTTTGGTTGGCTGGTTTTGTTACTATTATGAGTTAGGTGCTCCACAGCAAAGCACTAACCTCCCCTGCTCCAAACAAGCTCAGAGATTATTTTACTGTGTTTTCTTTGAGCCCTCCTTCTGGCAAGTGTCTTCCCCCTAAAGGCCACGGCCCTTTGATCCACCCACCAGTCCCTGGCACTGCCCCACATCCAAACTGACCCCAGCACTCACCCTGCCTCCCTGTCACCTCCCTCCTGCAGCCAGCTCCCAGCTGCCCTCCAGCAGCTCATTCCTGCTCACCTGGTGGGATTAATTCCTGATGTTGTACCCCTGGGGCAGCTGCTCTGCCAGACCAATTGGGCAGCCGTGCTTTCCAAAGTACCTTTCTTTCTGAGCTGGGATGGCAGGCACTGAACAGACACATCTGGTGTGTGCAAAGGAAGGCACTGCTGTGTGTGTTGCACACATGCAGTGGGAGTGCCAAAGAAGTAACAGAATCACAGACTCCCAGAATAGTTGGAAGGGTTGGAAGGAACCTTAAGGATCACCCAGTTCCAACCCCCCTGTCATGGGCAAGGACGCCTTCTGTCTGGATCAGATTGTCCAGAGCTTCATTCCAGGGAGAGAGCATGAGCATCAACTGGCCTCATGTTAATCCCAACTGAATCATGGGAAGGAAATAGCCCTGCAGATGATGTGATATATTAAACCCTCTAACATGAAAGAAAGATGCCCAGGTTACAACTGGAAACCAAGAAACATGTCCCCCCTTGGAAGAAGAGGCTGAAATGCTGATCTTTTAGAGGATTGTTTTGATATGCCTGTCAGATTAAAATCCTACTTGCTGTTGACCATAAACCATACATCTGGCCCTTCTTTTCCCTTGCATTTTAGAGGCATAATCTTTGTATCAAAACAACAAGCAGTTTTTCCTCCTGTTTCTTTCCCCTCACCAAGTCACTGGGCTCAGCTGGTTCTCAGGATGTGTCCCTGCCGACTGCTGGAGAGTGACAAAGCCATATTGTTTTTCAGCTGAGGAAAGAGCAAAGACTGCACCTTCACCAAGTGCCAGACTGCTGACATTAATCAAAATATCACTTTACCCTCGTCTATGTGGACACAGTGACACCACCACACCGGGAGGACTGTGGGAACCAGCAGGAACCGACAATTCAGCTAAGCCTTGCAAAATGCCAGAGCCTCCATTCAGAGCTTCCCCTTTTCAGCTAAAATCTGCCGCTGAAAATAACCCTCCCTTCCAAAGGATGGCCCTGTTTGAGTACTTGGTGTGCCCACGGTGCATGACAAGGGGGTTATTTATTGCCAGCACAACGAGAATAGGATTTTATGGGAAGAGGGAGGGTGGCAAAGTCTACTCCCAGCAAGCTGGGACTTTTTAACACCTGTTACTGAGGTAACCAGTGCACTCATATGCACCAGAGAAGTATGGAGTCAACGAGGTCTTCTATAACACTTCCAAGCAGCATCCTTCCCTAGCCCACAAACTTCCTGGTTGCCACCAACACTCTGGCTGGTGTCTGGGACTCCCCTTGGATCCTGGAAGTACATTAACTTTGATGCAGTTGAATCAGGCTTGGCAACAAAACTCCCCCAGCAGTGATGTGAGGTTCCCCTGGCTCATCCTTTAAGAGTCAAAGCCACCAGCAAAAGCCAGAAGGTTGGATGTTGATAGGACAGTGAACTGGAGGCTGCTGAGCCGCTGACCTTTCCTACTGGTGCACTTGGGAATGTCGGTGGGGAAGTGACCTCCTGGTTCACCCTGTCCAGCCCCCTGCTGTCATGAGCAACCACATAAAAGCCTGTCCTGCCCCACAGAACATTTTCTTCCCGTGCCTCAATGCGCTCTAGACCACAAAGCACTCCCTGACATTCCTTGAGCCAACTGAGATTGACAGGGAGAAAGATCAAAACCCACAAACTCTGCTGCACTGGAGGGGGATGGCAGGAGAGCTCAAAGGGCCTTACCAGCATCCCAGCAACTTCTCAGGAGAAGGATGCTTGTGAGATGAAAAGGCAGGGAGAAGTCTGCAGAGGAAGAATCCTGCTCTCAAGTTGCCCATGATTTTAGGCAGTTTATAGGAAGCGTGGAGGAGCTCAAACTCGTGTGCAATGAGCAGCTGAGAAAGGGCTTGGGATCAGGTTGTGAATGGCAAGCAATGTGCTTGGAAGCACCCATGTGCTTCCCACCCCCATTACTTGCTCTTCTCTGGGCTGCAGGGACAGGATTCAGCTCTCCTAAATTCAGAAGTCTGCAGAGTAGACACCTCAGACTGAGCTCACTACCCTTTTCTCCCTGGGCAGGCGTTGGAAAGGAATAGCCACTCCACGGGCAAACCCCATCCAACCCATCTGAGCCATCTCCACCAGGAAGAGAGGTATTGTTCCCGGGATGTTGGCTAGGGAGGAAGCTCAGAAGGAGATATTTAGTTCCAAGTGTCTACATCTGAGAGGATGAATCTTATCCAAAGCACCCACCTCGTGCTCAGGAAGAACTGAGTACAGAAGACCTGCCAGGTGACTTTGCTTCTTACCTGAGTCCCTTGAACCCTTCCTTGTGGATTGAGTGGGAACTGGGCTCTCCCTCTTTGTAGCATCCTGGGGCTCAGATGAAAGGTGTGCCCAAGTACAGTCTCGTGCACAGCCTGTGTGGTAGTAGAGAAAATCGTGGCAAAAATCTGAAGGCTGGGACAAAGGGAGAATGCACGGGAATACAGGCATATTGGAAATACTGGAATATTGCAGGAATATTGCAAAACTACCAAAGGAGCAACTGGCAGGAGGTGACAGGATGGGTGGCAGCTCTTGCTGGTGCCTGGACTGGCAGGTCTTTGAGAAGTACATCCAGGGACAGCTTCTCAGAACACCCAGATCAGGAGACAAAGGACTCAGGAGATAAAATCCTGATGACTCACAGAGGGGTGTGGCAGGATGGAGAGACTCATCGCTGTCAGCTCCTGATGAGTGAAAACCATCATATTTGAACCTGGACAGTGTCACTCAGGAGACTTGGTGAGGACTGGGCAGCCAGTGTTCCTGGTCCCCTGTGCCAGCATGAGGAATCGTGGCCAGATCAGGAGGATACAAACTTTTCAGTGCTTAGGGTTGTGTGAGTGTGACAGTATGAGGGAGTGACTTTCATTTTGTAAAAACAAATCACTCTTCTCCTCTTATCAGGTCTGGCATTGAACTTTGTTGCATTTTTATTCATATTGCAGCATTATTTCTTGCAGCAGAGAAACAAGTCTGGACTTGGAAATGTGCTTGGACACACTCTTCTGATCTTGAAAATGTCTTAAAGCAGCCTGGTGGATTTGGATTTATAACCTCACTGTGGTGTTAGCTATATCAGAGTCTAAGGTTACCCTGCACCTTCCAAGTGAAAGACATTGGCTCAGGTTTGCTTGAGACTTGGCCTTGGCTTGTCTGAAAGACCTGTGAATCCCTAAAAACCTTCGGCTTTGGTTCGCTTGTTTTACAGGTTCGTGATGAAGAACATGAAATTTACTGCTGCACTGATTACAGAATCACAGGACCATAGAATATTCTGAGCTGGAAGGGAACCACAGGGATCATCAAAGTCCAGCTCCTGGCCCTGCACAGGACAGCCCCAAGAATCCCCCCATGTCCTCAAGAGCCTCGTCCAAACATGTGCACAGCACAACAGTGGCAAGTGTGGATCTTGAATGTGGATGTTGATCCCTCTTGTCCAGGGGAAGATGGGAAATGTTCGTGTTCTTGAAGGGAGTTCTGGATCCTGCCACCACAGGACAGCTCAAAGTATCTCTTGGGTTTGCAGTCAGCACCAGGGCACAGGAATTAATTCCTTAGCCAGCATGACCTTGACTGTGCTCATTTTCCAGGTCCTGCTGAAGGGTGTCCTGTGAAGGCTTCTGCTGCTCTTGGCTTCTTGATAGATTGGTGGGGTCTTTGCACACTGTAATAAGCAAGCCAGTGTAAGGTGTGGTTTATGTATTTTCCATAGCTGAAGTTACTATTTCAGTGGTCTGCCAAAATCCTGCCCTGTTCAGCTGCACTTCTTTATCAGTAACACTGTTGCCCTATTTTAAACATTTTCCATATGGGGTTACATAGAACCTCCTAACTTCTGGGTGTCCCCCAAGCATTTCTTATTTTTTTAGCACACACACACACTACAGAAATGGAGAATAGGGTCAAACCTAGACCAACTGAACCAGTGAAACGTTCAGTTGAACCCAATCTTCTTGTGCAAAGGCCAGGCACAAAGATAGGGTTTGCAAAAATCTTACCAAACACGAATTCAAAGCAGTGGGACCAGTTTGCAGACTTTGTTCTTGATTGTTCTCCTGTTGTGGCTTAACACAGTTGGCAAATAAGCCTCATGTAGCCCCTTGCTCTCTTCCCTCTGGTGGGGTGGGGGAGAGAGTCAGAAGAGTAAAAGTGGGAGAATTTGTGGATTGAGGTAAAGACAGTTTAACAGGTAAAGTAAAAGCCACACATTCAAGCAAAGCAAAACATGGAATTCATCCACCCCTTCCCATGGGCAGGCAGGTTTTCAGCCATTCCCAGGAAAGCAGGGCTCCCATCATACCTGTCACTGACTTGGGAAGGTGAATGCTATCACTCTGAATATCTCCTCTTCTTCTTCCTCCAGCTCTATATGCTGAGCTATGGAGTGGAGTATCCCTTGGGGCAGTTGGAATCAGCTGTCCCAGCTGTGCCTCCTCCCAACTCCTTGTGCACCCTCAGCCCCTTTGCTGAGGGGCAGGAAAGGCCTGGGCTCTGCGCAAGCACTGCTGAGCAACATGAAAAACATCCCTGTGTTATTAACACTGTTTCCAGCACAAACCCAAAACACAGTCCCACACCAGCTACTGCAAAGGGAATTAACTCCACCCCAGCCAAAACCCCCACATCACCTCACCTGCCACATGGTGCAAGGATCAGAGACTTTTGATACATCCCAGTCACACCTGAGAACTGGCTTAAAAGGATGTGACCCTTGGTTCTGCCAAGCCTGAAAGCCAGAGAGCTGTTTGATCAGGGCTTTATCCACCCACCTGCTGCCAGGATGCAGAAGGAGGCAGGTGGATGCTTTGACCCACTAGCAGATGTGGTGGAACACTGTGGTTTTGTGCCTCCTGCCAGCGAGACCTCTGGAGATGTTGCTTTAATTCCCTCGAATGGCTTTGGCAGACATGGGTCAAATGACTTAAAATGAGGCACCTCCAAAGATACAGAGGCAGGACTACATCCCTAGGGGCTGGATTTTAAGTGGTGGGCAGCCTGAACGTGTCAAAGAGTCAACAGATAAGTGGGGAAGAGAAATGTGGCTTAGAACGTTCGTTTTAGAGGAGACCAGAGGCACAGTCTGGACTTAGGTATGTGTTTGTACACACATGGGAAAAATCTATATTGCTATTAAAGCTGGAATTGCTGCTCTGTCAAGACATTACCACACTGACTGTGGAGGAGTGAGGCTGCATACTGTAATAGGCTTGGGAGGTTTATTCCGTGCCTTGCAGATGTGGGACTGTTGACACAAACCTAGAATTGGTACCTCTTTTAGAAAATTGTCATTATGAGAAGACTCATTAGAGATAATGTTCTCATTTCCTTTCTGGCAGCAAGTCTACCAGCTAAAATAAACAGTAGGATGCTTTTCACTGAGAGCAAAAGATATGTTCCTATGTTGTAATCCAAAGGGATAAAATGCATTCATTTTTCAAAGCAGGGCAGGTCATTTATCTGCATTGTGGCTTTAGCATAGGCAAGATTTCAGTTACTGAGTTTCCACAGGGCGGCCTTAGGTCTTCATGGGAGTCTTCCAGTGGACAGGCTGAAGCTTTCATTTTGGTTTTGAGTCACACTCTGCAAGAGTCCACAAGTTTCAGGTTCAGTTACTAACCCTGAGGTCCCTTACCCTTACCAAAGGATTGCAAAGGTTCAGTAAGCCTGAGGTGAGAATCGCGTAGGCCAAGTTTAAGAAAGCTCTTTGGTTTTTAAGAAAGCCTTGGGTCAAGACAGGCTAAAGGTCTGGAATTTTCTGAGACAGAGTGAAATGTGAGGGATGTGCCAAGTCACGATGCCCATTGCCTGTGCTTTGTACAGCTTTGGGCGCTGCAGTTCATCCCAAAATGAGGACGTTTACTTCTCCATGTAACCCAGCTTTGCCAATGGGATTTTGGAGAGACTTTAGAGGACTAAAGCTTCTCCCTTGGCCAGCAATCCCTCATGCCTGGCTTTGGCCCAGGACAACCCTTTTCTTGTCCCAGTTAGAAAATCAGCTTGCCCTGAGGGGAGAGATGTTTTCATTGCTTCCCTCACGCTGTGCTGCCCTGAGAGCACACATGAGATAACATTGTGTTCACATTCAAAAAAAACCCCTAATTCCTGGTACTGCAAATCTATGACAACTCACCAGCGAGCCTGTGCTCTTTGGGAAAGAAAAACAGTGCTGACCCTGGCTTGGGAGCACAAGCCCAGCTCCTGTCACCAGCCACTGAGAGCTGGGAGAGCTTAGTGTTTCATGAGCCGCTCATGCAGGGGAGACCCGGGTCCCCAGGGACCCCCAGCTGGCTGTTTCTGTCCTAAATCATCAAGGCTTGGCACTGCAAAGGCCTGCCAGCGTGTCCACAGGTGTTTGTCTGTTGAATACCACCTCCTTCTTGCTTGGGAAGGGCTGCAGCACATGGTCACGGGTCAGTGCTGAGCAAACCACGCTGCTGTCATTTCATGCTTGACACGGGTCACTTAATCCAGGTGTTTATGGGCACAAATATCACAAGGGAGAGCCCAGAGATTACTCTGGCTCGAGATCACGGGCAAGGTCAGCTCAGTGAGTTTAAGCACACTGAAAGCAGGGCTTGTCTTTTCTCTGAAGAAGGGCAGAAGTTGGAGCCAGACAATTTTTGGAGAAGCGAGGCAGCCCCTGCTCTCTGCGCTCTCTCTCCCTCCCGTTGAGCTGGGTGACAGTATGTCCAGCTGAAGCAACCTGGAAGAACTACTTACAGTTTAAAAATGCCTGTGCTGAGAAATATTCAGGCTCCTTATTCCCCACGGAAACCAAGACAGGAAAAATATACGCACTTGGGGGCTTCCAAATGAATTTCTAGGACCCTCACCTCACCCTAAGCAGGTGTATGACCACGAATGGAGGCTGGTAGCTCCCACTCAAAGCCCAGCTCCCAAAACAAAGCCAAGGATGGGCCACACTCCGCTGTGGACATCTGCTGTGTGGCTCTGGAGTATCTGTCAGGCTGGATGCTGAGGGTGCTGACGTGCTGCTGGAGTGAGGACAGAGTCCCAAGACCCAGGATTCTTCCGTGGTTTCTGCCTACCCTTTGCTAAGGCAAATCTTTCCGGGTCGTGTCGGGAAGACATTTTGCCTGGACAGAGGTAAAAGTCCTCAGGATTTGGCTTCAGAGAGATATTTCTTTTAATTGTGTTCCTACCCAGGATCCTCTTTCTTGTTTAAAGAAGGTATTTCAAACAAATGAGGGTTCCTGCTTTGCTTCAGCTGGCTGACACATCTCATCCTCTCTCATCCTCCCCAGAGAACTGTGCTGGCCCTCCTGCAGTGCACTGGGCTGTGGCCTCCTTCCCAGCCACGCTTTCAGCTGGGGCCACAACTTGCTGGAAGCCTTTTTAAGGATTCTCATGAAGAATAAATCAAAACAACAGAATCAGACCAAAAATTAATTGCTTTTCCATCTGTTGAAAGTTAAAAAAACTCCCCAGCACCCTCTTTCATTAATCAGTCTGTTTTCTATCTGCTTTTGACCGTCACCTGGTTTATTTAAAAATAAAATACAGGCAAGTGTTTTGATTATCTATTGTTGAGAAACTATTAATTCAAGGAAATGTTTGCATAGAAGGAAATTTAAGTCAAGTAAGATTTAATCTTGGAATAGTCCTGGGAGCAGCAGGAGTGCCTGCAGGGCTGGCAGCACAGGACATGATGGCTGTGACACCCTCCCCTGCCTTTGGGATGAGCTTCACCCTGGTCCAGCACACCCCAGGAGTTGTCCATGAAACACCCAGCTATTCCTGCTCTCCAGAGAGCCAGAAGTTTCATGGAAAAATGTCCCTTTCTGTGTCATTCGGGGTTGTTGCTCTGGTACAAAAGAGAACAAGGAGACAGGAGTGAGAGTGACCCCAGCTCCACATCTTTATGCAGGGTGGGAGCATTTTCTGGTTTGCAAAAGAGCTGCATTTCCACAGAGGGTGTCTGAAAGGAGATGATCCCTCAGATTTTTCTCTGCTAATGCCTGACATATTGTGCAGATACAGCTGTACTTCCAGATGGCAACATCTCAATGCAGGGTAGTATCTGAGTAAAGGATTTGACCCACCTCATCAGTATTACAAGGACAGAGGCAATTTGGGTAACTCAAGCCAGGGTCAGATGTCCCCACCATCCTCAATGGCCAGGGATATTCAGAGCCACACAGCAGGCTCATTTCTGTGTCTTGAGAGAGACCCTTTCCTCCCCAAACCCCTTAGTCCCAGACGCCTGGAGTGACAACAGGCAGAGAGGAGATATCCTCAAATGCTTTCTCAACTCACAGCCCAGCTAAGGTGGAATAAAAGAATAGTAATAATAATAGTAAATAGTAGTAGAAAATGCAATTGTAATAGTATTAGTAAATAGTAATAGCAGTAGCAATAGCAATAGTAACAGTATAAATAATGGTATAAACAACAACTAAATAAATGATAATAGAGATGAGGGGGAAAATCAATCTCTTTAACCTGAGAAATGCAGTTTTCACCTAGAACAATCTAAATTCATACTTGTGGAAGACTTCTACAATGTCCCTCTTACTTCAAGGGCTTCGGTGCCAACAGGAACCAAGTGAGAAAAGCGAGCAAGGCAGAGCAGGAGCTGATGTGACAGCAAAGA